CACACACACACACACACACACACAAAAAAAATCAGCAAAGTAGCGACGTCATATTTATTTTAGTATTTATTACTTTAAGGCTAAGAAACCTTTCTCACACTCTTGCAATATTCTAAACTCTTAAACCTACGTCATTTTAACAACACGTATATGTACTGGACAGCTACAGAATTTTTTTTATGAGTATTCACCAGCTAGGTTCCATTTTGTTTGGGTTCGGTTCTGCTGGGGTTCGGTTCTGCTCGGCTATCCTGCAGCATGAAGCCCACCACCCCATCCAGGTTGATGTGCGCATGCTGCTGCTCCAGGAAGGACACTCTGCACACAAAGCTGCCCAGGATTTAGTCCACCACCTCTGGCCCAGTCTGGATCAGCACTGCGTGACCAGAACCAGGCCGAACCCTGCCGCGGTTTGCTCCCTGCAGCTCCCAGGATCTGGTCACACTGAGTCCAGATCATCTGCAGTCCTGGTACTCAGCAATGAAGATACAAGTTGAAGGATGAGTTCAGCTTCAGAATGATTTGAGACTTTCCTGTCAGTCCTGTGAGCTGATCCTTAAAGAACTTCTGACTTTGCTGCAAACTTTACCTCCATTTTCAAAAAGCAGTGGCTTGAAGAAAGTATTAACTTCTGGGAAGTGAACTGATGGCTTCTGGATGATGTAGTTCTTTAGACTGACAAAACAGTGGAGGCTTACTGAAAGGAAACTACAAAATGGCTGCACTTTTTTCCCCTGTATACAATAGTACTGCACAGTACTTTGAAAAACTGCAAAAGAGCGAGTGCAGACGTCAAACTGCAAAGTAGCGAGGGACTACTGTTTTCTGTCTGCTTCAGCATCTCTTTCCTGCAGGGCTCAATTCTTGGACCCCTTCTGTTTTCTGTATGTACTCTCTTTGGGGTCCAGCTATCACAGCATCAAAAGAGCAAGGAACGTCAAAAAAGTAAGTTTCTAAAATTACAACAGAGAGCTGTTTTCTTATCACAAACCATCAGTCAAGATCAGGAGGTTGTCGCCAACACAAATTTTCCAAGACCAGTGGGTTAGAAATTTGCCTAACAGGACATTGACACAACCTGAGAAAGATGTGCTGGCAAAAGGACTAAACTTTGCCATCTCCCCACAAGAAATACCTGTTTTGGAACTAATCACGGCCACTGAATCCGTGATTAGGAACAACAACTTGATGGAAGCAGAGGCAGAACAACTCGGAATGAAAATATCAGTAACCCTCTCCAGTGCCAAACCGCCTCCTTCAAATCTCACACCACAGGAAAGGAAAGCTGTAACATCACTCAGCCAGGACCAAAACATCACCATTTTACCAGCTGACAAAGGAAGATGCACAGTAGTCCTCAACACTTCTGATTACCAGGAAAAAATAACTACACTACTGAGCAACAGCAACACCTACGAGACCCTGAAGAGGGACCCAACCAGTGCCTACAAAAAGAAAGTCACAGATTACCTGCTAAAACTTGAAAAGGAGAAAACAATTGATTGTTGTATTATACACTGCAAATATAGTCCATCTAACCTAGTCTTACATTCTTATATCCAGTCAAAAAGGATTTTTTGATCTTGTTTTGAGACTTATATGCTAAACAAGAGCAGAAAGTGTTAGATTATTACTCTTGTTTTGAGAATATACATCTTTTATTTCTTACTTAGTTACCAAATCCTAAAAATAGTTACTTTACATGCATATTAAGCAAAATTGTATCACAGAGACATGTGTGAGATCATACTGTATGTTTAAAAACAATTTTTAGCTGTAAAAACTTGTTTCAAGACCACCCAGTAACAATACAATCTATAGATTGTACCCAGGGGAAGCCACTCCCTGTCTTTATGGACTTCCAAAAATACACAAAGAAGGAACACCACTCAGACCCATCGTCAGCAGCATGAACTCAGTGACATACAATATTGCTAAACATCTGGCTGGTATTTTATCTCCTCTTGTTGGAAACACACCTCATCACATAAAGAACTCCATTGATTTTGCTAACAAAATTCAACATTTGAAACTAACCCCAGGAGAAACCCTTGTATCGTATGATGTGACTTCTCTTTTCACTTTGTAGATGAACAGATGCTGGGATATATTCATCATTTAGCACGGGTTCCTCATTTTTCTGGACTGAATAAAACGTGCATTGAATTTAAGGAAAGGCAAACGTGAGACGTCATTTAAATTTGACCCATCAAAATGAATGCGGTCATTTATTTACAGAATCAAATTTAACATCAAACATTTACATTAATTTGGCAAATTATGAAAATAACAATATAAGCAATCAATCAGGAAAAATCATACGGCCATGATTTTTCGTTGCTGCACCACAGACATTTATAAAACTGTACAACTATGATCTTTTACCCACACGGATGTGAATAAGCACTTTACACAGACATTTCTAAATATCTGGGAGAATTTCTACTTGATAGAAAGTTAAAGATGAAAGAAGTTAAAGGGAGTAAGATTGAATGGGAAGGGAGGAATGTTCACCAGAACCGACACTCTCCATCAGAAGCCCAGCTCTCCTTCGGTACGCTTGGTAGGAAACTTGATCCATTACCTTTCTGAAGATTTATCAGCAGATATGGAATTCCGTTAACGCTACCTGTCCAGCGTCTCCTGATGGTGGCTGTAGCTCGTCAGAAGTAGTGGCTAGTGAAAGTTATAATCCCATGGAACTCGGAAGAGCCTTTTGTCATGTCAAGATCATCCCGTCTCTAACAGAACTTGAGCAGAACCAGCAGAAAACTCTCCAGCACTCCAGCAACTTCAGAACTCCAGAACTCTGAACTCTGAGAACTCCGAAAACTCTAGAAGTCTGACAACTCTCCAACCCTGTGTAGACCAGGAAGTACTGACATTTTAAAGACTCTTTCCCGGTTCACTTTTTGGGATTTGTTCATTGGTCAGAATCGACCAGAAGGGGTGTGTTTTTGTGACGTAAGAGGTTAGAGACAGCGAGAATTGTTATGAGACAGGTCAGAAATGTTCTCACAGACCGAGAGGGTTTTGTTTTGGCGTGTTTAAGAAACAGGTGCAAAACATCTCTATTTACGTCTGAGAGGATTCTAAAACATGACAGTTTTAACATAACAACTTGTTTTTCGTTTGACTGTAACCTTGTAAACGCACACACTTGCTCATTCAAAAGCAGAAATCAGAAAAATGCATAATTACTCTGCAACAGCTTTTAACATGAGTTCTAACTTTTGCATGAGAATAAAAACCATTACTCAGTTAATAAAATTGATTAGTTCACTGCAACATCTAAAATGGTTTGAACTAAGACACTTTGATTATCAACATTTGAACAATAGTAATGATAATAAAACAGAGAGTGTTCTTTTCACTTGAATCTTCAAGAGAGAAAGTCTCAGGATGGG